TCATTCACCTCTGCAGTTTTGAACCTCTTGCCTTCCTGCCTTGGGTCCATCAGCTCCCATGCTTCCATGAGTTAGAGGTCTCCAGTCTAGGATCTGCCCCCAACCCTCTCCCACCCACCGCAGACTTGGACTTGACTACTTCTACAATGGTGGGGACAGTGGACTCGAGGTGACTGTTTTCTCTGCATATACAGCTATAAATGTCACCGGTCTGGCTTCTCTAGGGAACCCAGCCTAACACAGACATTTAGCCTCCAGAGTGTAAAGTACAGATCTCCGCTCTTGCAGGCCACTTACTTGTGATGCTTGTACAGTAGTAGCACAGGGAGACTCAGACCTGGACAACTGACCTGAATGTTGAGCAGGGGTCCTCAGAGAAAACAAGGAGAAAAAATCTCGCTGCACGGGCAAAGGCCCTGAGACCCGGACCGTAGAGCCAGAAAAGGACAGAAAGGTGGAGTATGAGGTCACTTATGACTGGAGAAAATCAGGGCTCAGCACACCACGTGAGGAGGAAGAACTGGATCCAAGGGTGATGAGGGGTTAAGGCCTTGAGTTGTTATATAGAAGGATTTCATGGGCAAAATATTGTATCATATAGGAAGCATCAGAAGACAAGGGAAGGAACACATTCAGAGTCACTGAACACACACACACACACACACAACATACACACACATAATGGTTGACATAAAACCATTTCAGGATGTTAAATATAACCAAAGACCCAATGGTGCTGAAGGAAGAATTCCAAGTGGCACTGGAGGCATTAGCAAAACACAAAGCTCTAGGAATAATGGGATATCAACTGAGATGTTTCCACAAGCTGACGAAGCACTCACTCACTTTTGCCAAGAAAGAGATACTTACTTGTACTCATTCCAAAAACAAAATAGTGCAGAAATTATTAAACAATGTCAATAAATCACACTGCTGGCAAAGTTTTGCTGAGGATCATTCAATAACAGTTATAGCAGTACACTGACAAGGGCCGCCAGAAATTCAACCTGGATTCAACAGAGGACATGGAACATTGCTGACATCAGATGACTCTTGGCTGGAAGCAGAGACTACCAGCAAGATGTTTACTTGTGTTATACAGGCTAGGCAAAAGCATTTGACTCCGTGGATCACAACAAAGGATGGATAGTCTTCAGAAGAATGGGAATTACAAAACCCTTCACTGTGTTCATGTGAAGTCTGTAGACCAGTGGTTCTCAACCTTTCTAAAGCTGCGACCCTTTAATGCAGTTCCTCAGGTTGTTGGACCACCCCCCCAACCATAATTCATAACTATAATTTTGCTACTGCTATGAATCGGGTGACCTCTGTGAAAGGGGTGTTTGAACCCCAAAGGGGCTGCGACCCACAGGTTGAGAACTGCTGTTGTGGATGGACCAAGACACAGTCATTTGATTAGAACAAGGAGTTCTGTGTGGTTTAAAATCAAGAAAGGTGTGCATCTGGGTTGTATCTTCTCAATATCCTTATTTAATCTGTATGCTCATCACATGATCAGAAAAGGTGGATTATATGAAGAAGAACACAGCGTTTGAACTGGAAGAAGGCGTATTAACAACCTGTGATATGCAGATGGCACGTGGCTCGCTGAAAGCCAAGAGGGCTTGAAGCCCTTGCTGATGAAGACCCAGGACTGCAGCCTTCAGTGGATGACAACTCAGTGTAAGGAAGACCACATCAAAATCCTTCCAAGTGGACCCACAGACATGCACACACTAGCACACATATTCAAACACACATATACCCACACGTACATTGTTGTTAGGTGCCAGTGAGCTGTTTCCAACCCATAATGACCCTATACACAACAGAAAGAAACACTGCCCGATGCGGTGCCATCCTATTGATGATATATACACGTACACAAATGCACAATACACAAACACACACAACCACATTTCCAAACACAGGAAAATACACACAACACATACACAACCACACACAGTTACAAAGACACACTAATGTCCACTACACAAACACACACATGCTCGCACACATACCTCCCTTTCCTTGAAATATCCGTTATCATGTCAACTATTTCATAATTCTGGATTGGGGCGGCCCTAGTGGCCCAGGACTAAAACGCTCAGTCACCAGTGGAATGGTCGGTAGTATAAACCCACCAGCCGCTCCTCAAGAGGGGTGGTCTGCTTCCATGAAAGTCGGTGTTGTTGGGTGTCCGACTCATAGCAGAGCCCATTGACAGCATAGCCCAGTCTGGTCTTTCATGGTCTGGAAGCTGAAACCTGCTCACTTGGGGTGACCCTGCTGGCATCGGAAATACCGGTGACATAGCTTCCAGCATCACAGCAACCCACAGGCCGTCACAGGACAACAACCTGACAGCCTGGTGGTGGTCCATCAAGGTTGCGGCCTTGGAAACCCTCGGGCCGTTCTACTCTGCTCCGCAGGGCTGTTGCGAATTGGAATGGACTTGACTCACACCAACATCGTTCTGGCTTGACAGTCGCTGCACGTGTGGGCTCACGGGATTGGGGCTGGACGGGCAAGGCTTCCGTCGTGGTTTATGGGGTCTTCATGAGCCAACTCAAACACATAAATCCCACAGACCCCAAAACTGTGGGAGAAGTGACAAGCGGTCAAAAGGTGAGGTGGGAGTCTGGTTAGGAAAGTCGACGGGGGAAGGAAATAAAAGGAGGAGAAAAGGAAAAACAACAAGTCAAGAAAGATCCTAGACCCATGATTCCCAAACCACCTCTTCTAAGTGTCTTGGGCCCCAGTGGGTTGACAACGCTTCCCAAATTCCTCTGGCGCATCATGGTCTCCTGCACGAGGGCCCCTGTTTCCTTTCAGTCTCTAGGAAACCCCGGCTGCGACCACTTGAGGAAGTGACTTGAAGGTCTGGCCTTTAATTACTGCCCAAACACCTAGGTTACTGGCGCTTCAATCCCCTTAAGGACCCATCAAACCCCGCCAGGGGCCTGATTAGCTTGTCCAGTGTTCATTAGAAACTTCCCCGGGTACCCTTGTTCATCCTGGCTCAGGAGAGGGAAGAGTAGAGCCTAGTTACTCAAGTCTATGTGAAATCCAAGAGGACTAAAGATATTCTTTTTGCCAAGGCAAAGGAGAAAAGAGGCAATGGTGCTAAGTGTCCCAGCTAGATGCCTTCAGGAGTCTCCCGTGTGTAATCCCTTAAGCTGGCGGTTACTCATGGGAGGGTTGGGGGGTCCAGGCCAGCCTGAAGAGCCCCGAAAGAAAGGCATGGAACTCTCCTTCCCCAAATGGACCACGGAACACCCTGTGGAGCACATCTCTCCTCTGATGCACGGGGCCATCAGTCGCCATGAGTTGGCGCTGGCTCATCAGCCATTGGTCTGTGCCCTCAGACCTGGCCTGCCAATCAATCCAAGGCACCGTGTGTCCTCTATGAGGCTGTGCTCCGGGGATGCTCTCCGGGTGCTAGTGTGCAGTGTACACGTTTTTGTGAAAGCGCTGAGCACCCTTCAAAACGGGGCCTTCGGAGACCGACCCAACAACCTCCCAGCCACAGAGGACGTTGGTAACCTCTGGAAGGCACTTGCCTCTGACATGCCCCCTTCCTCTCCAAGGCAGTCTCTGTGGCAATGAGCACCGCCCTCTGCGCCTGGCCAGGGGCTGACAATGAACTTCTGGCGTCAACATGGGACTTTATTCCGGGGTCCGGAATTCAACCTCGGTCCCTCCCCTTCCCTTTCTCCATGGTGCTTGCATTCCCAGCTTCAGCCAGGTGTGCGAAAGGCGTAAGTTGAGTTTGGAGTTTATGAGTCCATGTTTTATAATTAACGTTGCCAACGGGGGAGTTTGATTAATACCGAGCCGTGGATTTTGAGCAATGTTCCATACAAATTGCCAAATTTAGCAATAAAATGAATTGGTTATGTGATCATAACGAGGAAGACGCGCATAAGCCGGCGGAGCAACACGCGCCTTCTTTGTATGGGGAGGGAAGAGTGGAGCGCGAGGGTCCTCCCCTGTCCTCCCCCACGGGGCCCCTGCCACCAGCCACAACGCAATGGACCGCACACGGGACCATGTTCGGAGCAGCCCAGAGAGGGGCGCACACCGCACACCCAGGGGACGTCCTGCAGACCAGACTCGCTTGAACGGTGGGATTTTCGTCGCAAACAGGAAAACCTGGAGCACAATTTTCAAGCGATGCCGCCAGGCTCGTTTGCTTGCCCTCCCCCACCCACCCTCACGCCCACCCCCACCCCTCTCCAAATATTCCCAGTACCTTGTTGTCTCCCTGCACCTCTCCCAGCCTCTGCTGGAGTTCCTTCAGCTCTTCTCCCAGATGCCTGTTCCGGTCCTGGGAATCTCGCAACAGTTGCGCGAGATTGGCCTGAGAAAAGCAGCACAGGATGAGAGCCCCGTGAGGAGTGAGGAGTGCTAACTGTGGGGCTTGATGGGGTGGCATGGGGGCGGCCCTCCGAGCCGGGCTGAGCCACACTACACCCATTTGAGGAAATGTATGAACCACCCCTGCTGAGAATGTGCAAGCCACACGGCCCCCCCTGCCACCACCACACGAGGGGGAAGTGAGTGAGTGAGTGGGCGGGTGGGTGGTTGAGTGTGTGAGTGTGCAGTCGGCCAGGAACTTCATTTGGGGACGATATTTATTTCCAGAATGCCCCATGGATACAAAGGAGTTAGTTGTCTTGGGATTTTGTTTTGTTTACTTTAAGAGCTCTCAGGATCTGTGTGGGGCACAGGGTTTGAATCTAGAAAGCAAGCTTCCCCTTCTTGCTTGAGAGAGTTGTGCTTTTTTTTTGCTGTGGTGGATCGTCGTATCTCGGGAACACCTTGCTTTGATGAGTTTTTCTTTGTTGCAATGACCAATAAACCACCGGTGCTGGCAATCGAGTTGATGCCAATTCGTAGCGACCCCCTATAGACCGGGGTAGAACTGCCCCCTGTGGGTTTCTGAGACCGTAACTCTTCACGGGAGCAGAAAGCCTCCTCTTTCTGCTTGCCTTGTGGTTAGGCGCCCAACACATAACCTCTTTGCTACACGGACCCCCATACTGGGGTCATAATCCTCCAAGGCTGCTGAGGACAAGGTGAGGAATGCAGACCCCGGCCACACAAAACAGCAGGATGCAGAGGTAATCCTACAACCTCCCCAATGCACTTTCTTACCTTGTATGCCCCCTCCATGCCCAGTACAGCCACCACCCAACCTGTCCTTGGAGACTTGCTTGTTGGTATGGTATACGGCTGGTTTCCGTGATATTTCCAGGCTAAAACTAGGAAGAAAGGCCTGGTGACCGACTACTGAAGAGAAGCCAACAAAAACCCTATGGGTCACCACAGTTCGATGTGAAACGGATTATGAGGCTGACGCACGCCCAGGCAGTTTCATTCTGTTCTGCATGCAATGGCCATGAGTCGGGACTGACTGGGAGAAAGGAAAGAACAGCCACATGGCAGGCTCTGGGGACCAAACAGTGAGCGAGACAGACAGACTTTTTGTCTCAGAAGACTTGCATTGGGGGGGGGGGGCATGCTGGGAACAGACAATAAAATATAGAGATGGAACATGTGGATCAGAGGAACCCCAGTGGTAAAAATGAATTAAACATTGGGCTGCTAACTGCAAGCTCAACGGTTCAAACCCACTAGCCACACTTTGGGAGAAAGATGAGACCACCTGCTTCCCAGGAGAAGCCCTGGTGGTATACTGATTATACATTGGTGTGCTAACCGCAAGGTCAGCAGTTCGATACCACAAGCGCCTTTGCAAGAGAAAGATGAGGTTTTCTACTCCCATAAAGAAGGGTGGGGAGGGAGGGAAAAAAAGAGGAACTGATACGAAGAGCTCAACCAGAAAGAAAATGTTTTGAAAATGATGATGGCAACGAATGTACAGACGTGTTTGATACAATTGATGTATGGATTGTTATAAGAGCGATAAGAGCCTCCAATAAAATGATTTACTACTAATAAAAAAGTTTTTAAAAAAGGGAATTACAGTCTCGGTAACCCACAGAGGCAGCTCTACCCTGTCCTATAGGGTCACCCTGGGTCAGATGTTACTCACTGGCAAGGAGAGCGCCCCTAAAGATGCACAGCCTCAGAAACTCTAGGGAGCAGTTCCTATTCCGTCCTGTAGGGGCGCTATGAGTCAAAGTGGACTTGATGGCAGTGGATTGGGTTTGGGTTTGATATAATAAACACTGGAAAATCTTCACGCAGGCAAGGTGGAGAGAATGCTTAGTAAAAACAGGTGAGAGAAAGCCTCTGAAAGGGTCCGATTTGGAAAAGGTGAGAGAGTGAGCGCAGTGAGTGAGGGCCTTGCGGATATCAAAAGAACCCACACACCAAACTCACTGCCATTGAGTGCATTTTGATTCATAGCTCCGTGCAGGACAGAGTAGAGCTCCCCCTGCGGGTTTCTGAGACTAAATCTGTATGGGAGTAGAACCCTGGGCATTCTCCCTCCGAGCAGCTGGGGTTCAAACTGCTGACCTTGTGGATAGTCCCCGCTGAGACGAAGGCAATGCTTCCCCTCTGCTTTCTTCCAAACTCACTCAAAACGATCAGGTTCACAAGCCAGGCCCCCCAGCAGTGGGACCCTGCAAGTTGGTGTGAAGTTGAGCGATGTTTCAACAATTCCTGCTCTTTATCCTGGTCCGTCTGTCCACAGGGCAACTCTCTCTCCTCAGTGCAAGGAAGTCAACCTCTGCCTTGACTCCCAGAACCTCAAACATCTCCCAGACATTAGTCTACAGAGCCTTTCTCAGGGCAGCAAGCAGAACCCCTCCCTAACAGACAGGGGCGGCCACCAGGCCTGGGAGGTAGACATGCCCTACGGAGGGGCAGTGGAGGGCCAGTGGACGGCCAGCGGGGGATTCTCTGAACTCTCTGAATCTCCGTACCCCCACCTGGAGGAGGCACCGCAAAATTCACCTTCACTGAGCCTCCTTATTCACCTTCACGGAGCCTTCTTTGAAAGGAGAGAGGCTGGCAAACACATTTAAGTAAAAATAGCAGTGAAAACTAACAAAAGCAAAAGGAAATCCTAACTCCCTAACCTTGTGAACCAGTAGAAACAGCTTCAGCCTCTAGGGCAGGCGTCCTCAAACTACAGCCCACGGGCCATGCGGGCTGTCAAGGACATTTATCGGCCCGCTGGGTGTTTTTGCCCCATTTGTTTTTTTACTTCAAAATAAGGTATGTGCAGTGTGCATAGGAATTTGTTGATAGTTTTTTTTAAAAAAACGATAGTCCGGCCCTCCAACAGGTCTGAGGGACAGTGAACTGGCCCCGTTTAAAACGTTTGAGGACCCCTGTTCTAGAGTCTGTGGAAACCTCCTGTGTTTGCCGACCCTTGGGATTTCCGTGGCCAAGAAGTAAGGTAAGCACAGACTTCCCTGTGCTTTCTTACTCCTCTGCTGTAAACAAATTCAGTTTTTCACCATGCAGAGATTCTGCTTTTAGGAATGGCTGGCATTAGTCTCTCTCCCAACCACAGAACCTTCCTGTGGAATCAAGACCTCTTTTTACATTTGCAATCCTCGACACCCACAGAGGACCCAGTATGCAAGATCCAGCCTGTACTTACCAACTATCTGCAGTGAACAACTTCTTGTGGGTTTTAACAAATACTTTTTTTTCTTTTCAAAAATTAATTTTCTTTTAAAAATCATTTTATTTGGGGCTATTACACTTCTTATCATAATCCATACATCCATCCATTGTGTCAAGCAGATTTGTACATATGTTGCCATCATCATTTCCAAAACATCTTCTTTCTACTTCAGCCCTTAGTATCAGCTCATTTCCCCCCTCCCTCATCTCTCGTGAACCCTTGATAATATATACTTATGATTACTTTTTTACTTATGAGTGTACATGCTCTGGTCTAGCCGGATTTGTAAGATAGAATTGAGGTCATGATAGTGGGGGTAGGGGAGGGAAGGAAGCATTAAAGAACTAGAGGAAAGTTGTACGTTTGGTTAGTGCTATACTGCACCCTGACTGGCTGGTGATCACACAGGCTGGTGTGCTTCTTCTAAGTGGGCTTGGTTGCTTCTGAGCTAGATGGCCCCTTGTTTATCTTCAAGCTTTTAAGACCCAGATGCTGTCTATTTTGATAGCCAGGCACCATCAGCTTTCTTCGCCACATTTACTTATTCACACATTTTGTCTTCAGCGATTGTGTCGGGAAGATGAGCATCGCAGAATGCCGGGTTATTAGAAAGCATTCTTTCACTGAGGGAGTACTTGAGTAAAGACCCAATGTTCATTTGCAACTTTAATATTTAATATATAATGTATGTACTTAGATCTATGTCCCTATTGTTATATATAAATATATTTACATGGACATATG